CCGCGCAGGGGTGGGGGCCGGGGGGGAGGACAGTAGGTCCCCCCCCTTATTGTTTTATTAGGGCCCCCACCCTCCGTGCAGGGGTGGGGGCCAGGGTGGAGGGGCCAGAAGTTCCCCCCCATATCTGTATTTAGGGCCCCCACGGGCATGGGGGGGGGGGTTATTAGTGTTTTTTTTTGTTTTTTTGTTTTTTTACAGTGAGCAGCTATAAGCTCACTGCTTACTACACATGCCCCTACTCGCGGTATAGCGAGTAGGGGCATTTAATTTACTAAGTAATCTTTACTTAGTATTAGTAAAGTTGGCTGAATTTAGGTCTTTCGGCCTTTTAGTAGATAACTCCCTGATACCGTGGGAATTAGGGAGTTATCTACTAAGCGGCTGCAAGATGCAGCCGCGGCAATGAATAGGATCGGAGTTTCATTCATTAGAATGAAATTCCGATCCAAATAAAATGCCGAATTGCGTTCTAAAAGAAACGAACATACTGTTCTCATTCAGTTAGAACGCAATTCGGCAGTTTAGTGTAAAGTGACAGGAAGCATCGCGGGAACACAGAGGAAAGGTAAGGATCATGGGAAAATTGCTCTTACCGGTGGAAATGAAGCACACTTTGCTCCTCCGCTGGTCAGAGCTGGTCAAGCGGAGGAATCCTCCATAAGGCAAAGAGTCCCTACTTTGTCTTATGATTTTAAAGAAAACTAAAGAAGATAGGAAGAAAAGAATAACAGATCCTGAGAGAGGGGAGAAGAGGAAGAGACTGAGGAAAGGTAAGTTCGGCATGACAGTGCCGCTTTAAGATTCTTAGGTGTGGAAGTTTTCCGGATGTAAGGGACAAGCACTCCTCATATGTCCTTTTCTACCGCAGTATAAGCATAGACAGTCATTTCTCCTTTATTGTCTTTCTGCCTCAGACAGTCTAGTAATCCCCAACTGCATAGGTTCGGGTTCGGACTGTGTAGGGAGGTCAGGGACAATAGGTCTGCAGAAACAAGGTGCCAATGACATTGTCATACGTCTAGTTCTGTTTCTGGTATTTTATCTGGTTCTTAATCTGTTATCAATCTGCATAACAAATGTGATAAACTCATTAATTTTTTTTAGGTAGATCCTTGGCAGCAATCTCATCCAGAATTGGTTTGGATAATCCTTTTTTAAATGCAGAGATTAACCCGTTAATAGTCCAGTCTACCTCAGAAGCCAAGGTGTGAAATTCTATGGCATAATCTGAGATAGACCGCTTCCCTTGTTTGATATGCATTAGGGCAGTGGAGGCGTCATCCTCCCTGCCTAATGGTTCAAATGTTAATTTGAATTCCGCAAGGAATTCCTGGTAATTGTGTGCAATGCTCTTATTACTCTCCCATAACGCATTGGCCCAAGCTAAGGCTTTACCTTTATGTTGGTTCATTAGTTAACCAATCTTAGCTCTATCTGAGGGAAAAGATCAGGGTGAGGTCTCAAAGTGATATTCAATTTAATTCAGGAACCCCCTGCATTCTTGAATATTACCATCAAAATGTGGTGGAGGCGATAGGGAGATTATAGGAGCCTTATGTACTATAGGTAGAAGTACATTAGGCGGAGGTGACATAGTCGGAGAAACCTCAGGCTGAAGATGCGCTGTTTGAGTAAGAAGCGTACTGAAAGCCTGGGCAAATTGATCCATACGGTGATCATTCTCCTCTAGCTTTCTCTCGCAAGCTGCTATGTGCTGACTCAATTCTACAGGATCTATGGCCATGTCGTAATGTCAGGATTACAAGTTGATCCAGCACGTAGAACTGTATCACACCTAGGACTAACAGGTAACGTCTTACAGGGCCTTAGAATGGCTGGACTTAACGTACCAGAATGTGCGCGCTCATCGCCCGCGTGACGTCACACGCATGCCGACGTCATTATTACTGAGGGCGGACGTGGGGCTATAATTTGGTATGGATCCGCAGCGGCCGGTGTCCATAAACATGTTGCAGGATTCAGGTACACTGACGCATGGCCGCTGAGCGGAGGTAAGGTGAGGCTGAATATGTTACACTAATGCCTCCAGTTGAGCAAGCATTTAAGCCAAGTCCTTCTTCAAAGGGAAGTTTTGTAGGAGATCTTTCAAATCTGGAATATGTTGATTGTTCCAAATATGCCGGATTCCGCAGAGAAGAGTGTCAAGGCAAAGATGGTGACACTATACTATCTTCTGCATCCGCCAATAGGATTTTGGCTTTTCCTCAAAAGTATTTATCAAGTTCACAATCCTTCTTGCTGGAGCTCGAGTCCAGAAGGTCCTGAAGTACCAGGGATTTATTTTTGTTCCCCATAGCTGCAAAGTTTATCATAAACAGGCTCAAATTCACATTCAGTGTCACGCCACAACCATGCAGGAATTCCAGTTTTATGAATGGCAATTCATAGGCTGAAAATTTACTTGTTATATACTTCTGTACAGATGTATCTGATTTTTTTGTAAGCAAGCCAGATCACCTTGTGAATCCATACAATTAATCTGAGATCAAACATGACATATATTTAATACATAATGCCTAATCCTCCCCGCCCCCGCCTTCCCCCACAAAAAACAGAATAGCATCTAAAATCATTCTCACTCTTTAAGTGAATGACCCTTCACTGAACTTACAATATGCATTGTAATTATGCTGCTATATGTCAATCCTCAACAACAGCATATCTGATCAGGTCAGGTAATAAATATTACTGGACCTCAGAGATTATATTTAAAATTCCTCCACACAGGGGGGGCGTGGCCAAGGACTGCATGGAAGCGGTCGCATAAACCGAGAGCTCCGCCGTTTCGCGGGCCCAACAGCGAGGTCAACAGCATCAATCTCGAAAAAAAAAACAGCTTGACTTGCCGCCAAGCGCACAGAGACAACCATGTCGACCAAATCTAACAAAAAACTGAAGCAGAAAACGATGGATTCCCTGTTACACGCGCAGCATATGGCATACCCGCGAGTCCAAGATGGCGGCGGAGAACCGCAATCACCCCCACATGACTCCGAAGCTGAGGACAGCCGGAGCGGCTCCTACAGTGCCACAATACATCCAGCCAACGATGCCTCAGTGAGTAACATGCTGCAAGCCTTAAAGACAGACCTGCGTTCAGACTTGCTAAAAATGGCGTTGGACATTCGAGCTGACATTCAGGCCCTAGGGGACAGAACAGCTCATCTGTAAGAGAAGACGGAAGGCCTAGTGGAAGCACATAATGACCTGTCTGATGCACATACAGCTCTGGCAGACAAAGTCAGGTTTCTGGAGGGGAAGATAGCAGATAATGAAGACCGCGACCGGAGAAACAACATCAGACTCCGAGGCATACCAGAAAGTATAGGGCCACAAGACCTCGCCCAATATGCTCAAAAGCTATTCAAAACTTTAATCCCAGCTCTAGAAGACTCAGATCTGCGTTTAGACAGAACACACAGATTGCCTAAACCTCGACACCTACCTGCTACCACCCCTAGAGACGTGATCACGAAAATACATTACTTCACGGTTAAAGACCGGATAATGCAGGCGTCCAGATTGGATAAAACCCTTCCAGGAGACTATGCAGATATTAAGCTTTTCATTGATCTGTCGTCGGCCACCATGTACAAGAGGCGAACGTTTGCGCCCATCACTACAGCCCTGCGCAAGGCCAACATTCTATATAGATGGGGATTTCCGGCCA